AGCTGCGATAAAGAAGCCTTGAGGATAAGTCGTGATCTTCACCAGAATAATCTCTTAGCTGCGATAAAGAAGTCTTGAGGATAAGTCGTGATCTCCACAAGAATGATCTCTTAGCTGCTATAAAGTAGCTCCAATCTGGTAGAAGAGAGAGATGAAGGTCACGCCCCACCAACACTTACAGAGGATAGATCGACGACCGGAGACCACTTTCTTTGATTCTCCATTCTCTCAAAGCTTGTATCTCTATTCTCCATACCTCTAAATTAATAAAATACCCGGCAACTGAAGCCATTGAAGAGTGGACGTAGGTCGAATTGACCGAACCACTATAAATTGTGTCTTCTTTAATTTTTTCATTGATTTCACTGCATTTATTACCTACACTTGACAGGTGGTGTGCAAAACCATTTTTGTGCATCATCAATTTGGCGCCGTTTGTGGAAAACGACAAAATTCTCACTCCCGAACATTGCATCCATTGAACTAATGGCGATCACTACCCGATCCATGAACCAACGTGAAGACAATCCTCCACGAGAGGAAGAGATTTCTCCCCCGCCTACCAACTCTGTCCCGGATACTCTAGCTCTGAATCCCCAGCAAATGTTGGAGACCATGCAACAACTGGTTGCTCAAAACCAACAGTTACTGCAACTCATACTTGCTAGACAAGGAGGAGCACCACTTGGAGGTGCACAACATGGAGGACCCCAAGGAGGAGCACCACTCGGAAGTGCACAACATGGAGGACCCCAAGGAGGAGCACCACTCGGAGGTGCACAACATGGAGCACCCCAAGGAGCTCCACGTCCTGGACATAAAAGAGCTCCACACCTTGCACATCAAGCAGCTCCACAACTTGTTAACAGAGGTGCACAATATGGAGGACCCCAAGGAGGAGCACAACACGGAGATGCACAACATGGAGGGCCCCACGGAGGTGCACAACATGGAGCACCCCAAGGAGTTCCACGTCCTGTACATCAAGCAGCTCCACGCCCTGCACATCAAGCAGCTCCACAACTTGTTGCTCCCTATTTGGGCGGCCCCTTTGGAGTTCCCTTGGGTGCCCTTCATAGGGGAGCTCCCCACGGGGGACCTCCACCTCCTCTTCCAGTTCCCTTTTCTCATGGTGGGGGCTTTCTTTACCAAGAGGACAAGGGTGAGAACCAGAGCATGGAGCATGGAAGCCATTTTCAAGATAATTCCAAATGAGCTCCCAACCACTGGGACGAAAAAATAAAAGAGGTACCAAATCAACTAGACGACATTTTCAACACTATGAAAGCACAGAGACCCGAGACAGTGGACTGCCTTGTAAGTCGAACCAACACATCCTTCGTACCTAACGTGACGAACTACCCACTTCCCAAGAAGTTTAAAATGTCATCCGTTGAAACCTTTGATGGTACGCAGGACCCACTTGATCACCTCGAAACTTTTAAGACCATGATGCAACTACACAACGTCCCCGACGAAATTATGTGTAAGACATTCCCAATTACCTTGAAGGGATCAGCGCGACAATGGTTCGCCAAACTCACCCCAGCCTCCATAGGCTCCTTCGCCGAACTGAGCAGATCCTTTGTGACACAATTCATTGGTGGACGCCGCCAGCAGCAGCCTGTCATCCATCTGCTCAACATAAAACAGGATCGTAATGAGAGTTTAAGGAGTTACCTCACTCGTTTTAACGAGGAAGTCCTCCAAATCGAGGAACCCAATGACAAAGTCGCCATGACTGCCTTCCTGGGAGGTCTCTGCTCATCCAGATTCCTTTTTTCAGTAATAAAGCAACCACCAAAGAGTATGCCAGAACTATTCACAAAAGCTCAAAGATATATGAATGCTGAGGAAATCAACAAGTTTAGGCAAGGTGAATCATCTCACAAATTACCAGAAACTTGACTTGCCTCTACACTGTTTTTAAACAGGCAGCCTATCTCCAGTTTAGCGGCTCTCTCACGGGTCGCCAAAAAACTTGGCCTCTGCACTGTTCTCAAACAGGCAGCCTATCTCCAGTTTAGCAGCTCTCTCACGGGTCACCAAAAAACTTGGCCTCTGCATTGTTCTCAAACAGGCAGCCTATCTCCAGCTTAGCGGCTCTCTCACGGGTCGCCAAAAAAAATTTGGCCTCTGCACTATTCTCAAACAGGCAGCCTATCGCCAGTTTAGCGGCTCTCTCACGGGTCGCCAAAAAACTTGGCCTCTGCACTGTTCTCAAACAGGCAGCCTATCTCCAGTTTAGCGGCTCTCTTTGGGATCGCCAAAAAAAAACTTAGCCTCTACATTATTCTCAAACAGGCAGCCTATCGCTAGTTTAATGGCTTTCTCACGGATTGCCAAAAAAGCTTGGCCTCTGCACTGTTCTCAAACATGCAGCTTATACCTCAAGCTTAAAGACTCCCTCATGGGTCGCCAAAAGCTAGGTCTCAAAAAGTGTAGCTCTCTCACGAGCAGTTCTCCAACTCTGTCTTTGCTCTAGCGCAAGCAGCCTACTTCTCTCTCTCTAGGTAATTATGTGAGATATTTTAATGTTTGGAATAACATTATTTTTGTCATCACAAGCAGGTTCTCCCGAGGCAGCCCCCAGGCTCACCCAAGGCGCCCAGCACCTGGAGAAGGGCTTGATCATCAAGAGCAGCACCCAAAGCTTCCTTACTACTTGCAATGTCTAGCCCAATACCTAGAAGTGTGCTTGACTGCTGTTGTTCGTCAAAACAAAGTTGTCCAGTAGCTTGAAGGGTGTCTGGCCCTTCAAAATTGCGCAAAGCAGAATTTTCGGCGTAAAAATCAGCACCTAAGGCGCCCAAATCAGCACCTCGAGTGGGAATCAGATCAGCCGGTGCTCCCAGGCCATTGCCTAGACCTCCCTGATGAACATTGGACTGATTTTCAGCGCCCCTTGATGGAAAAATGTTGCTGTCCAGCGTTCCAAAGCCGCCCAGCGCAGCAGAACTGAAGCTGTCCAGCGCAGCTGAGCTGTCTGGGACAGCAGACGCAGCAGCCAGGCTGCTGCCCAGCGCACCTGGGCTGTCCAGGACAGCAAGGCCAGCGCACAGGTAGCTGCCCAGCGCGCTTGGGCTGTCCAGGATAGGAGGAGCAGAGCCCAGGCAACCGCCCAGCCCCCCACTGTGCGCCTGCGCTGCCCAGTCGCGCGCCTGGGCTGTCCAGCCGCATGCCCAGCCTTTTCCCTTCGCTGCCCAAGCCACTCCTCGCGCTGCACATCTCCCCTTCGCTGTCCAACCCTTCATTTTCAGCCCCAAAGCTGTCCAAGACAGCATTCGAATGCTCAAAATTAGCCTCCAAGTTCTCCAAAATGGTGCCTACTTTCTCCCTTTCTTCAACCTCCACCACTCCCTCTTCAATCGACATTGTTCACTTGAGAAGCTCAACTAGCAAGGAAGAAATCATACTCTTGAAAGGATTCGAGGAGAACACACTTTCGCTTCAACAAAATGGGTAGGACTTGAGTTCTCACGGTTTTCAAGAGGTGGGTGCTCAACCTTAAAAATGAGTGAAATGGGTAACATGAAGAAGAAGACTATATTTATAGTCTAGGATTTTTCAAAAAGAGGGAAAAAGCCCAAATAGAAAATTATGGGCCCTTTTTAAAATAAAAAAGCCAAACAGAATATTATGGGCTTTTTTTAAAATAAAGTGGGAAAGACTTGAAGTTTAAACAAAAAAAAAAATATAGTCAATGCCTCCTTCTCCAAGTCTCCTTGGACATGGGGTATTGGGGGGCAAATGATGGGTTAAGCCCAAATAGTTCAATTTATGTGTTAAAGTCCAACCCCAGTTGAGGAGCCCAACCTCATTTTGATTCCACCAAGCCCAAGACAGTCCAAGACCGGTTAGACTTTTTGCTTAGCACGTCACCAAGAGGAGAGCATGGGAAGCTTATCTGCACCACCGAAGGAAACGGTCCAATCTTTGACCACGTTTCATGAAGAGCTCCCCAACCTCCTCCTTCCGTTGAGGATAAGTCGTGATCTCCACCAGAATAATCTCTTAGCTGCGATAAAGAAGCCTTGAGGATAAGTCGTGATCTTCACCAGAATAATCTCTTAGCTGCGATAAAGAAGTCTTGAGGATAAGTCGTGATCTCCACAAGAATGATCTCTTAGCTGCTATAAAGTAGCTCCAATCTGGTAGAAGAGAGAGATGAAGGTCACGCCCCACCAACACTTACAGAGGATAGATCGACGACCGGAGACCACTTTCTTTGATTCTCCATTCTCTCAAAGCTTGTATCTCTATTCTCCATACCTCTAAATTAATAAAATACTCGGCAACTGAAGCCATTGAAGAGTGGACGTAGGTCGAATTGACCGAACCACTATAAATTGTGTCTTCTTTAATTTTTTCATTGATTTCACTGCATTTATTACCTACACTTGACAGGTGGTGTGTAAAACCATTTTTGTGCATCATCATATATAACAACCCGCAATGTGGTGTGCAAAACCATTTTTGTGCATCATCATATATAACAACTCGCAAGGATTATAAACTCCACGTAGCCTCTTTTTTTTTTTTTTTGGGGGGGGGGGGGGGTAAGTACCCGTAGCCTCTTTGATATCAAAGTTAAATTCCATCACTGAATTTGTTTTCAAAGGTTTTTTATAAAAGAGAAATACTCCATTTCAACTTAAAAAGGTAACTTGGTTAAACACATTTGCTACCACTATAGTTTCCTAATATTAGTATAATTAGGAATAATTAGTTTATTAGAAGTAGACTTGTTTAAATTGTTTAAGTATGCTAAAGTTTAGTTTAACGAGAATCACAGTAGCCTTGTTTTGAAGAATTAATGCCGTAAGTTCATCTTCGTCTTTGGTATTTTCTTGATTTCTTCTTTCATTTGATCAACTTTTGTGTGAGATTATTTTTGAGTGCTTGATTATTTTGAGTTACAATGGCGGTTACCAACAACGTTTATATTCATTCCTCCCAAAAAGTTGGAGTTAGACAGGGATTTTTTCCCGCCGTAGTTCATGAATGATGATTGTAGTCACACTACATCTTCGAATGGAGACTCAAAATCGTCTGATAGCTTGAATGTGAAATTACTCTCATGTGAGAGAGTGGAAAATATGCCATCAACCGCAAGAGAAAATCATATCCAGACTTCAATGGATGAAGCCCAAAGTGCTGATTGTGCAGAAAGTCGGACCCTAATTACAGATGATCAGCAACGGTCTCCGACGACAGTATTACGCGTGGCAAAGTTAAAGAGCCGGTTCGCTGACACTATCCTGAAAGCGAAACAGACATTACTCTCTCATGATTGAAAGAAAGACTACAAAGGAAGCAGCATGAAGAGATGGTCAGGATTGAAGCCCAAATCAATACTGTCGAAAGAGACTTGAAGTTGCAGCAGCGAGAGAGGGAAAGGGAAGCTGCCAGAATCGCATTACAGGAGATGGAAAAACTGTTGAGATTGATGATTTTTTTACGGTCTTAAAAGATTTTGAGCAGTTAATTGCTCATTCGCTGCCCAATCACATGAGTGGTCTGGGCTGGTTTTAGAAGGCATTGAAGTGGATTACTCTGGGATCCGTTTCAAATGGCTCGGCTCAGTTTGTATATAGTGCAGGAGTACAGTGCTCGGGTTGTATATAAAGAAAGAGGGGGAGAGACTGTCATAGGGAATCAAGAGTTATTATATTCTCTTGAACATCAGATGTAAACAGTAATAATCCTGGCCAATTTGGTTGATAGTGGAAGAATTGGACCAACTGAGTTTGGTCCCGTGGTTTTCTCCCTTCACACCGAAGGGCTTCCACGTAAACAAAAATTGCTGTCTCGTGTTGTATTTTATCGTTTTTTGGTGTTTTTTTTTTAATTGATTAGCACAAAAAAGAGAAATCACTGATTTAAGCAAATGGCATCAAAAAATAAAGGCAACGGTAAATCAACCTCACAAGTATCACCAATCTATCAAATTATACATAAGATTATAATAAGGGTTCTGTTGAGTCTTCCTCCGATAAATTGCTGTAATACAAGTACAATACCAACTGCACAATCCCCAGAATTGCTCCAACTCCATTTGGGACCTGATTTTCATACAAATATGATGAGCAACAAGGTCATAATACGAAACAGCAAAAAGGGTATATGTGCACAGTGCCAATGTGGAAATCCTGCAAGGTTTACATCGACGAATTTGTCTAGCAAAAACCTAGAATGCACAAGTTGTTAGTGTATGCTCTTTCAAATTGCTGAAAAAATGAACAAAAAGAAGGCCCAGCCTAGGAAAAAAGGCGCACACAGGCCATGGCGCTGTCACTGGCTGTGTGGCCCACAGCACCGCCCCGCCCCACCATTAATTAAAGATGAAATTATCTGAACCTTGGACAGCAGCATCACATATATTGCTCTCTTTAGTTAGTGACCAAATGAACAAGAACAATTTAGCAGGGGAAACAGTCTTTCGTGTTGCTTCTGCCTTGTGCTTTCTCAAATGAAAGCCTGAGCTTCATAATTTTGCTTTAGGATAACTTTCATACATGTGCACACTTAATTCTGATACTATCTGTTCATCAGTTGACTAGGCCTGCATCATGGCCCTCCAGAAGCCCGTGTGATGGACCACGAGACATGCAATGGCGCAGGACCACTAACCCCAAGGGGCATGGCCTGGCCTGAAAAAATTTTCAAGCATGGACAGCCCTTCATACAATGTAAGGTCTAACAGAGGTTCTAAGAGTTGTCCACACATAATTGCTGCAGTGTTCGGTTGCCATTTGCCAAGAAGACGAACAAAATGATTGAATAGTTGAAATCGAAAGCATTAAATCCAGTTATATATAGCTTATGAATTCCCTTCTCCATCTTAGACTATCCAATTTGACAACAAAAAATGAATAAGAAAAAAACTCCAAAATGGATATGCATGAGTGTAAAGAATGATTCATCGACTACTTACAGAAATGAAAGGATTGTGCTTCAGGACTCCATATGCAAAGAAAGAGAGACTCATCAAAAACGTCGAAAGGGAAAGATAGAATGGCATGTATTCCACACTCTTCGTTTTGATTACCAAATGCTGTTATGGAAATGTTTTTGAGAAGTTATAAGTGGGAAAAAAATTGTGCCACTGAGGAAGATCTCAACATAGGGATAAAGTTTTCTGATGAACCTACAATAATAAATAGTGGAGAGGCAAACATAGATATGAGAGAAGCAACACTCAAATATCCAACAAAGAGCTGTCGGGTAGGAGGATCAAACAGTTTGATGCTCACAAACACTATGATCCCAAATATGGCGAAAATAGCAACCAGCAATCCCAACATCTTCACCTGAAAAAAATTAAAAAAAATTAATGGTTGAATTGGTGATCTTGTTGCAATAACTAGTTCAGCCAACTCTATATGATAAGAATTACCTTTTTTGCTTTCTCTGCATATGTAATGAAAATACTAACATACACCAGCTGGAAAATTGCCCCTATTGAATTGACAGTGGCAACAAATATAATACCAGGAGATACAATTGGCATGCCATACCAGAGGCATATTAAGCAGTTCAAGAAGGAATATATGTTTGGCAATCCTGAAAACTGTTCAGTTGATCGGCTCCTGATAATTCTCCTGAATGTGGGTCTGAAAGAGAATATAATCTAAGTGTTATAAAGGAGAAGAGATTTTTTTTTTTTTCGGTGTAGTCCACAAAAGATTTTAGGCTACTTACAGTGGAGACACAAATAACACAATAGCCAAGAGGTTCCCTGCAATGAACAACACAACAGATTTGATAATTTGGAGAAAACAAAATTAGCAATCCTTTTATGGTGGTTTGGATAAGATACAAAAATGCGATGGTCCTATTGTGTTTAACATGACCAATGAAGGTATTAATCTAGCATACAATTCCACCTTCAATGAATAAATACGAGCCAGCACTTCACAAATGGTTGGTGCTATTGATGACTGTTCTGCATTTTTTCTATTTCATTTAGTTTATTGTTTGTAGCTTTTGTTCATAACAATTGGAAAGCCATCCCAAAAACAGAACACTGGCCTAATATGGGTAAAGAAAGGCGTCTTTCGTTTTATCAACCCCCATTAACAGGAAAGATTGCATGATTAGTATTCCTTTGATTTAACTACCCTCTGTGAGTGTTGTCCTCTTTTTGTTCTTTTTACCACTTCTCAATATTCCAAGAACAAAAGAGAGAAAACCTTATTCAATTAACATATAGCTTTATGAATCACAGATGATAAATTATTCAGATACAAGATAAAAATAGATACTCAATAATAATGTGGATTGGAGTCAACTGAAAAAGGAAGAACCAAACAGAGAGGAAACACAAAAAAATGTACACTTTTATGATGCAAAATGTAGATCCATATACTAAAACAAAAATGTAAAAAGAAACCAGATTTCAAGCATATTATGGATGCAGCACCCATCCACCCAACCCCAACACACAAACATCCATGAGAGAGAGAGAGAGAGAGAGGATGGGTACCTGCAACCCCAGCTGCATCACTGCAAACAGAGTAAGTAGTGAACAACCAAGGTGGAGTCATTGACCAATCTGTTCAAATTGATCCCTCTGTTCAAACTTCCTTCAACAAATAGACAAACCTCTCTCTCTCTCTCTTTCTCTCTCCCCTACCTCTGAATGTCAAAGAAGCCTTGAAACGTATCATTTAAGGTGTAGCAGCTAATGCTGGGATCCAAAGATAGTTTAATGTGGGACCCAACTTAGACATATCCCTTGTATATCACATGTGATATTACAATGTTTAAAGCACATTCCTTTTTTTGTACTATGATGAGACCATGTGGTTGAGATCCCACCTATAAGTAAAGTTCAAATAGTGGAACATCTCTCAAGTTTCTAACCTTGGTCAAGTGCTTGTACATTTGCAATTGACTGTTTTGTCCTTTTATCTTTATTAATTTGTGGTTCTTCTCCATTGATGCTTTTTTCCCCTTGCAAAATTATCTCTAATCCACTCATGGCGACTCCATGTCTGCAAGGACTTGGATTTTCCTCATTGCATAATTTTTTTTCCCTAAAATGCTAGGTCACTTACCATGTACCGATAAACGATCATTTTTGGCACGATAAGTCAAGAAATGATTTATTGAAAGAAATATTAACACAAGGTCTCACTAAACCAAAGCTTTTATAATACAATATTGTTAGATTACTAATGGCGCTTCAACATCCACCGCAACCAAATAATTGTGTGGTGGTCACCACTAAAATGGCATATTGTGGTGCAATATCTGTCCCCCACTCTGGGGCATTACAAATTGACAGTACTATAAGGATAAATGATACTTTTGTATCCTTGCAATTCTTATATTGTTCATCGATCGAACAAAAAAGTAGCAATGTGCTCCATTTTTTAAGGAAATTGAGTACCAATTTTCTATTACAGCACTTAAAATTGGGTATATACAGTAATGATACGCTGACTAAATTAAGAGCCTAAATTACATGACAGCATATTATTTAGAGTCTTTATTGAGGCCGAAATGACATGACACTAAATAAAGAAACCCAAGTCAACAACTATGTCATTTGGTCTCTTAATTTAATCCCAAAATTTGGTCAGCGTAGCATTACTAAGGTATATATTATGCAAGTAATTATGTATAGAAAAAGGATAATATAACAAATAAAATTAAAAAAAATTGTAAGAAAAGACGACAAACATCTACTTCTGGACTTCATTGCTACATTTTTATTTGATTGAGGATGTACTGTGAAAATTTTAAATTTTTAAAGTGTAAATTAAAAGTTTTAAAATCTCTTAAGGTGCAAAGTGTTATTTCTCCCATAATAATAAGATGGTAATACACAAATAGTGGTATCATTATAATGTTTCAGCCATGAGGCCCATGCCCAGTGGAAAATGATTGGAAATTTTCCTTTTTTTTTTGGGTTGAAGCGGATTAATTTTTTTTTTCCGGTCTTACAGTCAAGGGTGTTTAAGTTATTTTACACATAAATAGATTTATTAAGTAAATAACAATACAACTCAATTATATAAATTTTGACCAAAAATGAACAGAAGGAAATTCCTACATATAAATCAAGAAATGGAGACCAAAAAAAAAAAAAGAAAAAGAAAGAAAGAACCCCCACAAGTAACTAAACTACATCGTTTAGTATGTCAGATTGAATCCAAGTTAAATATGGTAATTTTTTTTTATGAAATATTTCACCACAAAACAAACTGCAATGTGAGTTATTAAATTTTGTGTTTAAAAATGCACGCCCGTTTTTGTCCGATATAAGTGTAGTGGAGATTTTTACAAATAACTGTATAGTACTAAAGAGTAATGGTCTCTGATGAATATATAGAATAAAGTATCCGCGAAACTATTTTACAAATGAAGCACAATTCAATGAGTAATTCTCGGTCAATGACCAGCCCAGGCTAATGTCAGATTGGGTTGGATTAGATCCAATTCCAAAATTTCCTGGTAGCCTGAGCACCAAGAAGACGAGACTGCACTGTACAAAGGGATCCAACAAGTATAAATGGATTACAATT